TGCTGTAACTTTTAATGTTCATTAAATGACTTTTTGTAAGTCATGCTTTTCAATGATGCTGTAACTTTGAATGGTCACTAAATGAGTTGTTGTAAGCCGAGGACTACATATATATTGTATTTCAAATACTGAAAGCTGATGAGAGACCCAGCAGAGGCAGGATGAATACCCGACCTAATTCAGGGTCCACCAGAGTTAATTCACAAGCACAATCAGTGTTTTCTCTGTGCTATGACTCAACATGAAACCCAAATATAACAGGACCATAATATTCTGCTTCCTCCAAAGTAATAATGGGAATAAAAAGTTTGCAGTTGTTATTTTGATGATTAAATTCTAAGTAGGTCCATAACTCATGCAAAGTTTTTTCCCCTCAGGTACACTTGTGAATGAAGTCATACAGAGAATCAACTGTGATTCCAAAATCCCTGTATAATTATCAAAATCACAATGATTACTTCATCTTCCACTATAGCCTAGGGGACTTCTCTCACCCACGGTTATTTTGAAACAGAGGTACAGATATTTAGTAACCCACATAAACAGATTTCACAAGTATTTTGTAATTCTTATAAAAATCTGAAGATCTGGTCCACAAGGACCTCAAGGATTACAAAGAACACATGGTGAGACTCCTGTAGGCACACTGTACAGGTCTGAATTTTAATGCTGTCCTTTTAATGTGGCAGATTAAATTTTATCTTGCTTGGTCAAGTCCGTGTATCTGTGTCCTTTGGCAAGAGAGCTGTGCTTCCCCTAAAGATTTCCCTGAAACTAAAGACAGTGGTGTCTTGTCTCAGAGAACTACAGAAGATCTTCATTGTGATATTTGAAATGCTGCTGCTGCTGCTTCTCTTGGTGTCCCATTTTCCATGTGGGACGCTGATGACCAAATGTCCATTAAATGTGCAGAAAGATGACAAACATAAATTTCATTACTACAAGACAGGAGATTTCCTGATTAGTGGACTCATATCTACATCTAGCGCTGTATTTCAACCATACACCTTCTTTAAGCCTCCAAACCACAGATTTGTAAGGTAATTCCTGATGTGTCCTCAACGCTAGTGATTAATTTTATCCTTTCCACTGTGTTTCTTTTAATGGGGATGGTTAGCTGATATGAATGCTAAAATTTTATATGTTTTAACTTTTAATATTGACACCTGTGATATTAGCAGTCTATGATTAAAACTATCTAGAATTTCTAGTTGGGATGATTTTGAGCCCAAAGAAAAGCATTGGAAAGAAAGTCCTCTGTAGTCAATAGGACTATCCTTCTAAGAGCAACACCCAATCACCTGGCAAGGTCCCGTAATTGACTCATACAATCATCTGACTTTGTTTAATTGAAGAAGGAATTTCTGAGAATATTTCCTGCATTATAATGCAGGAAGTGAACTTTTGGTCTGATTCCCTCCTCTTTTCCCTTCATGAGGTCAATCAGAATCCCAAGCTGTTATCAAAAATCATCTTGGGCAACACAATTAGAGCTATATTAGAGATGCATTCTATAACTAATTTCAGATTTTTAGATTGTTAAATTTCCAGGCTAGCCTCATAAGACAGTGATCCAACTGATTGCTAAATGTCATAAAGGAACAGCTTCAGGTAATATGATGTCATTTTATGAATTGAGGATGAAAACCAACTGCACTCTCTTATTTTGCAGTATAAAGAGTATGAGCTTCTGGCACGTCCTGCCCTTCTTCTTTGCCATTCATGAGGTCAACCAGAATCCAAAGCTTTTACCAAACATCACCCTGGGATACAGCATCTATGAGAACTTTTTCAATGCAAGGATCACATCCGAAGTCATGATGGACTTGCTGTCTACAGGGCAGGAGAATGTCCCAAACTACAGTTGCGGAAGACAAAACAATTTTTTGGCTGTGTTTGAAGAGACTGATTCAGAACTCTTTAATTACATTTCAGCTATGTTAGGCACCTACAAAATTCCACAAGTAAGAATGAATACTGAAGCTAATTTCATTTTATAAAGTCTACTGATAGTCCAAAAGGGGTCAGATAATAAATAAAATGTATCAGAGGAGAGAGCTTAAAAGATACCTGAAATATTATATTTTCATCAGGCATTCAAATGTCTGTTACCTTCCCACCCTGTTCCACAGCACTAGGGATTCGAACCACTGAATTGCCGACCTTTCGATCGACAAGCTCAGTGTCTTAGCCACTGAGTATAACTTGATGAATATATTTGACCACCTGATGTGTGAGTATAGGGTTAGCATCAGAAAAAAAAAAATCCTTGGAGGTAAGCACTTATTTTTCTCCTGAAAAGCAAAGCAATTGACCATATTTTTTCTCTTACATCTTAGATCAACTATGGGGTCATCAGCCACATTCCAGAACAGAAACACCATTTTCCTTTTTTCTACCGGGTGAGTCCAAAGCAAGAACCTCCTCACTTGGCAATTGTCCAACTGCTGCTCCATTTCCGATGGACGTGGATCGGTCTTGCTGTTCCGGACAATGAAACTGGAGAAAAGTTCAGAAGAACCTTTGTGCCAGAAGCCCTAAAGAAAGGCGTCTGTGTTGCCTTCTCAGAAAGTTTACCCATGGTTCTTAGAATAGGGAGGGATAAGCAATTTTTTCAATATTTTAGTGACAATAAGGTGAAAAGTATTGTTTGTCAGTTGGACTCTCAGACTACATTAATACTAGCAGTGCTAATACGAGACATTGAAAAAATCCTGTTTAAGGAAAAAGTATGGATTGCTACAGCTTTGTCTGATATCAGTGTGAGATTATTTTACCAGTTTGTTAATCTCCAGCAAAGCCATCTTTTATTATCCTTCTCAACTCAATCAAAGAAAAGGACACAATATTATGATTTTAATTCACATTATTCTGCTGCAGGGAAGTTTGGGGAGGCAGCATTTCAGTGTTCCTATTCAATCCCCTTGTTGTCTAAGAAAGTTTGGAAGAGATGCCTGGAGAAAGAGAGCTGGGAAATCCCACCCCAGGATCTGGTTGAAAGAATCCTGTCTGAGGATGGCTCCAGTATTTCCACAGCAATCCAGGTTGTGGCCTGGGCCCTCAGTGCTGCCTTTTCCTCCCAAAGGAGTAAGAGGAAGATGCATATTTGGGATAACCAGATGGTACAGCTGTGTCATGTAATGGTTTTTCACAATTCTGCTGATGGTTCCCTTTCATTTCTTAAATGTTATGTTAAAGATAAGCAGAGATGGATGTGGGGAGGGGGCGGATCCCAACAAAAACTGCCAGTTTCTAATATTTCTTCTGAGCAGATGAGGAGGTTTGGAGAGAGAGGGAGGGAGGGAGGGAGGGAGAGAGAGAGAGAGAGAGAGAGAGAGAGAGAGAGAGAGAGAGAGAGAGAGAGAGAGAGAGAGAGATTTTGTTGGTGAATCTTCCAGACTAAACAAGAGATGCTTCTGAGAATAGGCAATAATGTCTGAAAAAACTGGAAGGTTCTTTCCACAATTGCTGAATAAGTAAACAGTAGGATGCCACCAAAACCATCATGTTCTCTTGAAGATCTAACATTGGCCTCATGTAGTTCTGAATTCCTGTCCTGCCATGAAAAGAGGAGTCAAATCTTTCTTCCTCTTAGCATCTTCAAGTTGAAGCTACAGAGAGCACACTACAACTTCCTTGTTATAGCCTGGCAATTTTCTCTTCTGTGTTTGCCATCTCCCAATATTCTTTTCCTGCTCCTTTGAAAATTAAATCTTAGTATTGGGAACCAGTGATGGAATTCAATTTTTTTTTACTACTGGTTGTGTGGGCGTGGCTTGATGGGCATGGCTTGATGGGGGTGGCAGGGGAAGGATACTGCAAAATCCCCATTCCCACCCCACTCCAGGGGAAGGATACTGCAAAATCCCCATTCCCACCCCACTCTGAGACCAGCCAGAGGTGGTATTTGCCGGTTCTCCGAACTACTCAAAATTTCCGCTACCGGTTCTACAGAACCTGCTGAATAACACCCCTGTTTCGAACCCAATCATTTCTCCCAATCCTTTCACATTCCACCACCAACTGTTGGTTCCATAAAGCTACTATAGAAGAATAAAACTTGTAGAGCTTAGAAAGAGCGTATAATAATACATTGGTAAGGAATGTGTTGTTTCAATTGACCATTTTATTCACTTCCAAATGCCTCCATTGTTCTTCCATGTTTCCAGGACATCAGAACAGAAGTGATTTCTCTGGCTGTGCAATTTTCCAACTGTGATACATATCAGCTAATAAGGGGAAAAAAAAAACTTCCATTCACAACATTGTGGGGGAAAAGTCAGGTTGCAACATGATGTCACCTCTGGTTGTACAACTAGCTCTCATTTCTAGTGGCTTTTCTAAACCTCACTGTTTCATTTTGTGATATTTTCTCTTCCAAAGAGTGTGATGGAAACCCCCATCCTTTCTTTTTTTTAACAGGCATTGCATATATCTCCTTTTCTCCCTTTTTTTCTTACACTACCTAGATTAGTGCATGTTTCCTTCCAGCAGGTAACTTGGACAGAGGGAGGCAGGCAACAACCCTGCAACAAAGGGGAAGCAGCAGGGGTGCCTTAGGACATTGGCCAAAGGAGACTGAAGATTTAGGACCAGCCTTTTGTTGATGACTCAAAGCCAAGTTGGAGTTAATGTTCTAGTCAAGCAAAATTGGGACACTCCTTTTTGTAATACCAATAGAATTAGTGGGAAAACTACCATAGGAATATGGTGAGATTGTCGGAGTCATAATATGTTTGGAATCTGAGATTACCAATTTCATAAAGCAGGCGAAAAATATTAAACTGAAAAAGGTTTGTGTGTATTTGTATGTGTATGTCTGTCTCTCTCTGTGTGTGTGTGTGTGAGAGAGAGAGAGAGAAAGAGAGAGAGAGAGACAGTGGGAGTGGGAAAGAAAGAGAGAGAGAGAGAGGGAATTAGAGAGAGAAAAAATAATCTTCCTACCACATTTGCAGACAGAAGCACCGGGGTAAAGTATCCCTGTTTTGATTTAGGTTGAAATGGGAACGTATACATTGCAAGTGCGATTCTCCATATCTTTTCAGCTCCATCCTTTTCTAAGAAACTTCCAGATTTACAATTTTTCTGTAAATGATGCTTATTCGGATGACAATGGAATTCCTACTGCCGACTTTGATATCATGGACTGGGCAGTATTTCCCAACAAATCTGCAGCTGGGGTGGTAATTGGGAATATTGGAAAAGAAGAAGTCTCTTCAGATATCAAGGTCTCTGTCCATGAGAGTGCCATCATATGGCCAACGTCTTTTAACCAGGTAACCAAATCTGCCTCTTTTTGGGTTTTATTATTTATCTATTCCTATATATCCATGTGATTTTATGGTTTTTCAGCCTTTTCACTATAATGGAGGACCTGCACTGGTAAAAAGGCAGTTGAAGGAGACACTACTATTTTTCCTGGACCTCTCAAAAGATCTATTGCTTATGGTGGGAATACCAGCATTTTTCTAGGGTTGGAGGCACTTAGTTAGTGGAATCTTTGGTGTTCTCTGAGCTTGGTTGTTGTTTGCAGGTATTTCATTGGTTGCTTACCGAACTAAGTAACATCATCGATGCCTGATGTCCTTGATGATAGCACTGATAATGTTATCTAGTCAAATGAATGCAAGCAGACAACCAAACTGAGAGAGCATCAAGGAGTTTACAGTTCAATCCTGTGTTACAGAGATTCTCTTCTATTGAATCTTATCCAATGTTTGTTCACAACTAGAGTCTGCTTTGAGACTGAGTTGATAGGAAATTGAGATCTAACAAATGCATATTGTTGTAATAGATTGTGTTCTAGCAGTTGTTAAAATGAGAGCGAGCAACCTTGTGGTTTCCATGCTTTGGACTACACTTTCCACAGTTTTGTGTCATTGACCAGTTGGCTGAATCTGATGGGATCTGAAGTCCAAATGCAGAAAAATTCCAGAAGGATAATGATGCCTGGACTGGAGAATCAACAGCCTTTTCTGAACATTAAGGGGACTCTGGGATCATAGCCTGCTGAAATGAAATAGCTAGTGAAGACTTTTCACTAAGAGAAAATTATTTTCATTATATTTGGAAAAAGATCTTGAAAGTATCTTTTTGAATTCCTGAACCCACTTTGGCACTCAGTTCCATTTTTAGAAGTAACCCCCTCATTCCTGTGTTTCTCTGACTTTCTTTCTGTTTAGAAGGCCCCCTTTTCTAGGTGTACTGAAAGTTGCCTCCCAGGATATACCAAGCTCTTGAGGGAGGGAGAACCACTTTGCTGTTATGACTGTTCTCCATGCATGGAAGGAACCATCTCTGTGCAGGAAGGTCGGTAGTTCAAGAACAAAGAAGGAGCACCATATATTTTAAGGACAATGTATTAGAAATAGCAATTGCACTTAGACTTAGAGGGTGCTTTATATCATCCTCTAAGCTATTTACAGAGTCAGCGTATTGTCCCCAACAAAGTGAGTCCACATTTTGCCAACCTCAAAAGGAAGGAAGGCTGAGTCAACCTTGAGCTGATCAGGATTGAACTCCAGGCTCTGGGCAGAGTTAGCCTGCAATATTGTATTCTAATCACTGTGCTACCACCGTTCTGGTATTACCAAGATTTGATGGCATATGCTGATATGCTACATCCATACTCAGGAAGCAGACTAAAATCACTTCAGTGAAGGTAGAATTCACAGAGGTGGATTTTTTTCACAAACTGCTGAAACAATAACAAACCATCTTGAAAAAGATTGAGAGACCTTGAGAATGATGACAGCATTTGAAATACTCATACAAAACAAGATTTATGATTTAGACCCATATATAAATTGTTTTTGAAATATGACATGGAGATGGAAAAAATAAACATTTGAAAGATAAAATGGATGCAAGACATCAAAGAAATAATCATAATGCAAAAATGAGAAGAGTTTTCAAAAAGAAAAATATAGAAAATTCACCGCCAAGTTATAATTTAAATGGAAACTGCTGCAAAATGTTTTACAGATGGTCTATAAATATAATTGCATAATAAACAAATCATATAACAATAAATGTGTACATCCTATATCTGAAAAGTTGGCTATGATTTATTTATTTTATTTATTTATTTTGTCGCATTTCTATGCCGCCCAACTCCCAAGGGACTCTTGGAAGTTGGGCAGCATAAAATGATGTGCTGAATGTCACTCAATCATTTGTTAAAAAACAGTATTTTGTGTTTTCCAGATGTAGCCCATTGTGAAAAGTGTCCAGATGACCACCATTCCAACAACAAACGAGATCTGTGTGTTCCCAAAGTTATGACATTTCTGTCCTACAGAGAAAACTTAGGTCTTGTTCTGGCTATCTCTGCCCTTTTTTTGTCTCTAATCACTGCCTCAGTTCTAGGAATTTTTATTAAATATCGAGAAACTCCCATAGTCAAAGCCAACAACCGGGATCTCACCTACATTCTGCTGATCTTTCTCCTGCTTTCCTTCTTGACTTCCCTTCTCTTCATTGGTCAACCCAAGAAAGCGACCTGCCTTCTTCGACAAACTGCCTTCAGTGTTGTTTTCTCAGTTGCCGTGTCATCCTTGCTGGCCAAGACTATCATGGTGGTGGTGGCATTTCTGGCCACAAAGCCAGGCAGCAGGATGAGGAAATGGCTGGGGAAATCTCTGGCCAATTTCATCATCTTCTCCTGCTCTGGTGTTCAGGTGGGCATCTGTTTCATATGGCTGGGAATTTTTCCCCCATTCCCAGATTCTGACTTCTATTCCCAAAAAGGACAGATCCTTCTGCAATGCAATGAAGGTTCAGTTACAATGTTTTACAGTGCCCTTGGCTATATGGGCTTTTTGTCTGCCATCTGCTTCTTGGTGGCTTTCCTGTCCCGGAGGTTGCCAGGCTCTTTCAACGAAGCCAAGCTGATCACCTTCAGCATGTTGGTTTTCTGCAGTGTTTGGGTCTCCTTTGTCCCCACCTACCTGAGCACCAAAGGGAAATACATGGTGGCTGTGCAGATCTTCTCCATCTTGACTTCCAGCCTGGGCTTACTGGGCTGCATCTTTGTCCCCAAATGTTACATCATCATTCTGAGACCTGATTTGAACATGAAGGAGCATCTAATGATGAAAAACAACTAGAGCTCTTGATTTTGGCAGTTATGTTTTTATCCAAATTATTGCTAAGATAAAATAAGAAATTGAAAACCTTTTATTATTTGTTCTAAAAATTCTTTCTTTCTCCCATGTGATTAATGTTACTATCAATAAATAGCCTAAGGAAGCTTATTGATGTTTCTTCCACCAATTTAAAACTATGTTATTTGTCTTCTAAACTATACTTCTTCAATATTCATTCAGCATACAAGTTGAATAAACATGGAGTATACAGTCTTGTCTCATTTCTTTTCTGATCTGGAATCACTCTGTTTAAAGCCATGATCTTAACAATTATTTTTGTTTTCTCTTTATCCAATCAGGAACTGATATCTGCTTTGCATATTTAACTTTTCTTTCCACTTTCCCTTCAGCCAGTCCATTCACTCTGTCAATATGCACATATTTCTCTCCTCTTCCCCCTATTCTCTTGAAAAGTTAAGCTAGACAAACAGAGTGGGGATAGGAATCTCCCTGGCAGATCTGTGTATCTGCCATTCTTCATGGAAGAAGGGGGGGGTTTGGAGTTGTCACGTTTAGTTCTTTTCCTATGTGTCCTAAGTATCCTATTTCCTGCCTGGTCCTCTTTGTATGAACTTTACCCTGATTTATAACCGTTGCCTGGCGCCAGGAATGCCTGGAATATTCTCACACCTTAGGACAGGAAAGGGAAGGTGGTGGAGGGGGAACGAGTGGATTGCAAGATGACCCGGAGAAGCTCTTAATATCTGTTTCTCAGAGAGGCTGGTGCAATTCGTATTCATACTAGTGGATTGGTCACAATCCACATCGGAAAGTGGAGAGGGGGTTCCTAATTTCCTTTATCCTGAACTGCACACCCTGAGGGACCCCAGAGCCTGCTTTGAGTTTTGACTTGCTTTCATCCCTTTCAATAAAAGACTCCTTTTGAAATACCAAGTTCTCAAGAGTTCATACTTTCTTGGAAGGGGGGTGGGGAAGCTGGTCATCACACTCCCTCAGAATTCTGGTTCTTAACAGGAGAATGAGTATATGATCTCCCTCAGGTTTCCAGTTGCTGACACCTACATACTAGCTGGCCCAGTGGGACTGCTATCTCCAAAATCAGCAATCAGGTCAGTTCATCAGCTCTCATGACAACACAACTGACCTTCAAAAATCAAAACTGAATTGCTTTTTCTCCTTTTACTCACTACAAAGGTTGGCTCACAGCAGCAGAATAACAAAAATGCCAGGCAAATAAAATCAGAAACAAGTTTCTGAAACCAATTTAGAGAAGTTTTATCAGGGAGTTTTTCTTAATATAATTTTTAGATGAGATACAAATCTCTTGCCAATCATGATGAAAAAAATGATGAAAAATGATGAAAAAAACCAGACGCAGAAAACTACAGACCAATCAGTCTGATATAATACCTGAGAAGTTCCTGAAAAAGATCATCAAAAAATAGATCTGTGAACATCTAGAAACAAATAAAGTTATAAGTAGGAGCCAGTTAAAAACAGATCATGCCAAACCCCGCTTATTTCCTTCTTTGACAGTAACTAAATTAGCAGACGAGTGAAATGCTGTGGACATAATATACTTAGATTTCAATAAGGCATTTGACAAAGTAGACCACAATCTACTTCTTGATAAGCTGGAAAAATATGGGATAGACAGCATAACCAACAGATTGGCTGACAAACCATACTCAGCGAGTAGTAATAGTAGTACATCTACATGGAGGGAAGTAAGCAGTGGCGTACCACAAGGTTTCATCTTAAGTCCCGTAGTCTTCAAGTTTTTCATAAAATATTTAAATGAGGGAATAGAAGGAGAACTGATCAAATTTGCAGATGACAGAAAGCTGGCAGGAATAGCCAACCGCCCGGAAGACAAGTTCAGGATCCAAAAGGATTATGACAGACTTGAACAATGGGTCCTATCCAACAAAATAAAATTTAATGCGGAGAAAAGCAAGGTTGTACAATTAGGCAAGAAAAACCAAAGTTACAAGTAGAGACTTGTACCTGGCTCAAAATCAGTAACTTTGAGATAGACCTAGGAGTCCTCATGGACAATCATTTAAATATGAGCCAGTTGTGTGTGTCAGCAGCCAAATAAGCTAATATAAACCTTGGTTGCATAAACAGAGGAATAGAATCAAAATCACGTGAAGTATTAGTACCTCACTAAAAACTTTCCAAGATCACAAATACTGCATCCAGTTTTGGTCACCACATTATAAAAAAAGATGCTGAGACTTTGGAAAAAGTGCAAAGAAGAGCAATTAAGATGATTAAGGGGCTGGAGACCAAAACATATGAAGAACGATTGCAGGAATTGGGTATCGCTGGTGTATAGAAAAGGAGGACTAGGGGTGACATGATAGCAGTATTCAAGTACTTGAGGAACTGCCACAAAGACGAGGCGGTCAACTTATTTTCCAAAGCACCAGAAGACAAGATAATAAACCATGGATGGAAAGTAATCAAGGAGAGAAGCAAACTAGTATTAAGGAGAAACTTTCTAACATTGAGAACAATTAGCCAGTGGAACAGAAGTTGCCTTCAGAAGTTGTGGGTGTTTCATCACTGGAGGTCTTTAAGAAGAGACTGGACAGCCACCTGTCTGAAATGGTATAGGGTCTCCTGCTTGAGCAGGGGGCTGGTCTAGAAGACCTCGAGTGTCCCTTCTAGCTCTATTCTGATTGATTGATGATGATAGTTCCTTGTGAGTTGTTTTGTCATATTTCATTTCATATTGTTAAGCTTCTATAGTTGGACAATTATCACCTCTGATTTACTTATTTAGTTATTTGTTTATGGGGATATTATTTTTTCATTCCCTTCTGCTCTTTTCTTCAGGTGTCTAGAGCAGGGGTGTCAAACTCATAGCATGCAGGCCGGATGTGTCACCCGCTGGCCATGCCCATGCCTGGTTTAGCGAAGGGGGAAAAAGTCGCAATACATCACTTGAAGATGCTGTGGCGACACGAGTTTGACACCTCTGATTTAGAGCCAGGCCTGAAAAAACGGATGCCCCATTGGCTGGAGACATCATGTGTAGGCCATACCCATCCAGGCTCTGCATAGGCATAAAACATGATACATCATAATATGGCCTGTGATGCGATTGAGTTTGACGCCTGTGATCTAGACTCTCCTGATTGTTAATGTGAAAATACTGAGTGCTGATATGAAGGCACTAATGTCGGGGTTCCGATGGGTGCCCTAATTAATTCATGAGCCTCGAGCCAAGTACCAGTTGTTAATTAGGAGCAACGTATCGGCACATACCCAAATGGAGTCAGTTCTGCCTCACGTAATTTACGTCCCAACTATGACCCTGTTTTCTCCCTCCTCCCAGGGTGTGTCATAAATCACATTCTCCAACGGAGCAATTTCGCGGGCCGTAGAGAACATGCCTCTCCAGCTGACTCTTGGTAACCTAGGCTGTGGCCTTGAGAAGGTATGCGTGGAATGTGCTTCTGGTTGCTCCATCGGTTTCCCCCACCCCACTCCTGCCTATGGCAACTCAAGAGCAGGCCAGGAATGCTTTACATGTGGACAACTAATTCAAGGACATGTTGTTTTGGATTAAGCTGAACATTTGGAAGAATTGCCTTTTGCATTAGGAAAGAAAGGAGACCAGTTCATTTCCATCAGGAAAGTGTGATACTCTTTCATATCAATACAAAAAAATAAAATAAAAAAAATTGGCCTGCTAAAAATCTACTCAATTTATGAAGGCATACTTTCAAAATTTCTTTCCCAAAGATATCACAGTTGCCATAGTAACTTTGTAATTTAATTACAAAGTTTAGAATACGAGAAGCAACATTGTCCTCAATTTCTTGAGTGAGTTATATGGGATTTCACACAGGGAGAAATGTGGCAAAGACTTTCCCCAGTGCTCTATATTTGTAAATCACAAGAGAGTTGACTGAGTAGAGGAACCTGATAATTTTTTGGGGAGGGGAAAATTCATTCCAAACCCTCTCAATTGGCTTAGAGTCCTCAACTTATGACCACAATGGAGCCTAAAATTTCTCTTGCTATTAAATGAATTTTGCCCCATTTTATGACCTTTCTTGTCAGAATTGTTAAGAGAATCACTGCTGTTTTTAAAATAGAAACTTGGTTGATAAGTGAATCTGATTTCCTCATTGACTTTGCTTGTCAGAAGGTTGCAAAAGAGGATCACGTGATTCTGGGAGACTGCGACCGTCATAAATATGAACCACTTGCCAAGCATCCAAATTTTGATCATGTGCCCATGGGGAAGATGCAACGGTTGTAAGTCATGTTTTTCAATGACGCTGTAACTTTTAATGTTAATTAAATGACTTTTTGTAAGTCATGCTTTTCAATGATGCTGTAACTTTGAATGGTCACTAAATGACTTTTTGTAAGCCGAGGACTACCTATATATTGTGTTTCAAATATTGAAAGCTGATGAGAGACCCAGCAGAGGCAGGATGAATACCCCACCTAATTCAGGGTCCACCAGAGTTAATTCACAAGAAAAATCTGTGTTTTCTCTGTGCTATGACTCAACATGAAACCCAAATATAACAGGACCATAATATTCTGCTTCCTCCAAAGTAATAATAGGAATAAAAAGTTTGCAGTTGTTATTTTGATGATTAAATTCTAACTAGGTCCATAAGTCATGCAAAGTTTTTTCCCCTCAGGTACACTTGTGAATGAAGTCATACAGAGAATCAACTGTGATTTCCAAATTCCTGTATAATTATCAAAATCACAATTATTACTTCATCTTCCACTATAGCCTAGGGGTCTTCCCTCACCCACAGTTATTTTGAAACAGAGGTACAGATATTTAGTAACCCTCATCAACAGATTTCATAAGTATTTTGTAATTCTTATAAAAATCTGAAGATCTGGTCCACAAGGATCTCAAGGATTACAAAGAACACATGGTGAGACTCCTGTAGGCACACTGTACAGGTCCGAATTTTAATTCTGTCCTTTTAATGTGCCAGATTAAATTTTATCTTGCTTGGTCAAGTCCGTGTATCTGTGTCCTTTGGCAAGAGAGCTGTGCTTCCCCTAAAGATTTCCCTGAAACTAAAGACAGTGGTGTCTTGTCTCAGAGAACTACAGAAGATCTTCATTGTGATATTTGAAATGCTGCTGCTGCTGCTTCTCTTAGTGTCCCATTTTCCATGTGGGACGCTGATGACCAAATGTCCATTAAATGTGCAGAAAGATGACAAACATAAATTTCATTACTACAAGACAGGAGA